TATCAGTAACACAATTGTAACAGGAGACCTTAATACACCACTGACACCAAGGGACAGATCAACCAGACAGAAAATGAGCAAAGAAATAACAGAACTGAATCACACCTGTGAACAAATGGGTTTGATAGACATATACAGAATGTTCCACCCAACAACATCAGAATACACATTCTTCTCAGCAGTACATGGATCATTTTCTAAAATAGACCATATATTAGCTCACAGAACATATTTAAGCAAATGCAAAAAAGTTGAAATCATCCCTTGCATATTATCGGGTCATAGCGCTCTGAAATTAGAAATTAATGACAAAAGATACTGCAAAAATTCCACAAACACATGGAAACTAAATAACACACTCTTGAGTAATCAGTGGGTCACAGAAGAAATTAAAGAAGAAATTAAACAATACCAAAAAGAAAATGAAAGTGCAGATACAACTTACCGGAATCTGTGGGATGCAATGAAAGCCGTTCTGAGAGGAAAATTTATTGCACTGAGTTCCCACATCAGGAAAACAGAACGAATACAAATAAATAACTTGATGCTACACCTCAAACAGCTAGAAAAAGAAGAGCAAGTCAAGCCCAAAGCCAAAAGAAGAGAGGAAATTATAAAAATCAGAGCAGAAATCAATGCAATAGAGACTAAGAAAACAATCCAAAGAATCAATGAATCAAAGAGTTGGTTCTTTGAAAGAATAAATAAAATCGATAAGCCCCTAGCCAACCTTATTTAAAAAAGGGAAGAAAAAGCTCAAATTCATGCAATAAGAAATGAAAAAGGAGAAATCACTACAGACCCAATAGAAATACAGAGGATCATCAACACCTATTTCGAAAACCTCTACTCTCAAAAGTTTGATAACACAGAAGAAATAGACAGATTCTTAGAAGCATATGAAGTACCAAAGCTAGATCAAGAGGATATAAAACTGTTGAATAACCCAATCTCTGCTAATGAAGTTGAAAATGTAATTAAGGCCTTACTCACCAAGAAGAGCCCAGGCCCAGATGGATTCACTGCAGAATTCTACAAGAAATATAAAGACCTAATGCCAACACTCCTCAAACTATTCAATGAAATTGAAAGGGAAGCAATCCTTCCTAAGTCATTCCTGGAAGCAAATATTACTCTAGTACCAAAACCTGAGAAAGACCCAACTATAAAAGAGAACTATAGACCGATCTCCCTAATGAACACAGATGCAAAAATCCTCAATAAAATATTGGCAAATAGGATCCAGCAAATCATCAAGAAGATTATACACCATGACCAAGTGGGATTCATCCCAGGAATGCAAGGATGGTTCAACATACGCAAATCAATAAATGTAATCCACCATATCAATAAAGCCAAAAATAAGAATCACATGATCATCTCTATAGATGCAGAAAAAGCCTTCGATAAGGTCCAACACTTATTCATGATAAGAACTTTACAGAAAATTGGAATAAATGGTCTTTACCTCAATATAATAAAGGCCATTTATGACAAACCAACAGCCAGCATCATACTAAATGGCCAAAAATTGAAAGCCTTTACTTTAAAATCGGGCACAAGACAAGGATGTCCTTTATCACCATTCCTATTTAATATAGTACTGGAAGTACTAGCCAGAGCAATTAGGCAAGAAAGAGAAATAAAAGGGGTAAAGATAGGAAAAGAAGAAGTTAAATTATCATTGTTTGTAGATGACATGATACTCTACATAGAAGACCCTCTAAACTCCATTGATATACTCTTAGATACAATAAATAAATTCAGTAATGTGGCTGGATACAAAATCAATACTCAGAAATCAATAGCATTCCTATACACGAACAACAAAATTACAGAGAGGGAAATAAGAGAAACTGGACTATTCACATTAGCAAGCAAAAAAATGAAATATTTAGGAATTACTCTTACGAAAGAAGTGAAAGACTTATACAGTGAAAATTATAATACACTGAAAAAGGAAATTGAAGATGATCTCAGAAAATGGAAAGACATCCCTTGCTCATGGATAGGAAGAACAAACATTGTGAAAATGGCCATTCTCCCAAAACTGATATACAGATTCAATGCAATCCCAATAGAAATTCCATCAACATACCTTATAGATCTAGAGAAATCACTCCTAAATTTCATCTGGAACCAGAAGAGACCTAGAATCGCAAAGGCAATTCTAAGCAGCAAAGACAAAGCAGGAGGCATCACAATCCCTGACTTGAAGTTATACTACAAAGCAACAGTAGTAAAATCAACATGGTATTGGAATCAAAACAGCCGAAGATCAGTGGAATAGATTAGAAGATACAACCACAACTACGAACACACTCAACCACCTTATCTTTGATAAAGGAGCCAAGCAGGTTCACTGGAAGAACAGTCTCTTTAATAAATGGTGCTGGAAAAACTGGCTCTCCATTTGCCGAAAACTAAAGCTAGACCCATGTCTATCACCATGTACTAAATTAAAATCTAAATGGATCAAAGATCTGAATATTAAAACAGAAACACTAAATCTACTGGAAGACAAAGTGGGTAGAAACCTTGGAGACATAGGAGTAGGTAGAGAATTCATGAACAGGACTCAAACCGCACGGGAAATACTTCCCAGAATCAATAACTGGAACCACTTCTTATTATAAAGTTTCTGCATGTCAAAAGAAATCTCCAGCATAGTGAAAAGAAAACCCACAAACTGGGAAAAGATTTTAGTGAACTCTCTCTCAGACAAGGGACACTTGTCTAAAACATATAAAGAATTAAAAAAACTCAGACCTCCAAAATTCAAAGATCCAATCCAAAAATGGGCATCTGAGATGAATACGCAATTCTCAGATGAAGAAATGCAAATGGCAAATAAATATATGAAAACATGCTCATCATCATTGGTCATCAGAGAAATGCAAATTAAAACCACACTGAGATACCATCTCACTCCTGAAAGAATGGCCAGGATTAAGAAAACCAACAACAACAAATGCTGGAGAGGCTGTGGGGAAAAAGGAACTCTCTTGCACTGTTGGTGGGAGTGTAGACTGGTACAGCCTTTGTGGAGGTCTGTCTGGAGGTTTCTCAAAAAGTTGGGACTGGAAATCCCATTTATTCCAGCTATTCCACTTCTAGGCATATTCCCAGAAGAACTGAAAGCATCATACCACAGTGATATATGTGCACCTATGTTTATAGCAGCACAATTTGTAATCGCCAGATCTTGGAAACAACCCAAGTGTCCATCAACTGAGGAATGGATAAAAAAGTTGTGGTATTTCTATACAATGGAGTATTATTCAGCTATAAAGAAGGATCACATTGAGATATTTATCAATAAATGGGCGCAGCTTGAGACCATACTCATAAGTGAAATAAATCAATCTCGCATGTGTGAATACCGAATAGTTTCCCTAATGTAAGTAATGATTCAAATATATAAAAATATGTGGTAATCATGATTCCCCATTAGGTGGCCTTGGAGCCTTATAAAGTTTTCACTCATTAATTAGAAAGGCTTTATTCTGGGCTTCTTGATTTGAAAATATTTGAAGCTAGAGTATATGAAGTTTTATCCAAATATTTCAAGGAAAAAGACACTATGGTAACTACTATTAAGTCAGGTTATATGGTGGTGAAGTACTAGGTTGTTGAAACAGTCATGCTGTGACCTCTATTGTTATATTGTTATGTCCTGTTTTATCTCAATCTCCCCCTTATTGTTTTAAAAAAATTATTTAGTCATTTCTTATGTTTGTCTTAATTAAAGAAAAAATTCAAAAAATTAGGATATATAAATAGTAACTCTTTTTGATTTCCTATTAACTTGTTTTGAAGTCCTGTAGTACTCCCACGATCTTGTTTTGACTGATTAGACTCTGTTCCATTCTATATGGTAGTATCAAGTTTGAAGACATAGGCAACTACTTTGAAGACAATAAGATTCACTAAGATACCCATTCTGGTTTGACTATTGTCTTCTTTGGAAGTCCTGTAATGTTTACAATGCCTAAGTTTTATTGGTCTTGTTCTCTACTGTTTTGTCCAACTTTATAATATCTAATGAGATAGACAATTCTTTTTAAGGAAACAAGGGACAATGTTGATAACCATTGTTGATAAACTTGTACTCTGTTCTACATCATGTGCTATGTCTATCCTTGGTATTGACTGACAGCTTTGTTTTGCCATATTTGACTGTATTCTCCCCCCCCAAAAAGTAATAAGCACTAAAGAGTAATGAAATCCAAAAAAAAAAAAAAAAAACAACACTGGAATTTCATCTCACTCCTGAAACAGTGACTACTATCAAGAAATCAACCAATAGCAAATCCTGTCAGGGATGGTGGGAGTGCAGACTGCACAACCACTGAGTAAATCGGTGTGGAAGCTTCTCAAGAGGCCATGCCTGGGCTGACTTGGGGAGAGCCAGATACCAGCCATCTCCTGCAGCCTGTGCCATTCTCAGACCTTCAGGGAGGAGGAAAAAAAGTCAACAAGACGGTAAGACCTCCTGTGAGTCAGTACCATGTGCAGCCTGGCACCAGCAAGACAGCAGCCCCTCCTGGCCTGCAGGCAGAAACACAAGAAGAACCAAGGCTCCCCCACCCCGCCCCTGTAAACAACCAGCTGATCAAGAGAAACACTGTGATGGTAGCTAATGAGGTAAAATACAACTTAATCTTGGAATGTTTAGTATTTCACTGACCTGGCAGGCCTAACGCAGGTAGTCTGATCATCTGTTCAGAGGATAGTGATAGGATGCAATGCAGCATCTATGTGGGTCTCTTTCTGAGGGTGGAGGCCATTGTTAATTTCCTATTATCTTGTTTTGAGAATCCTGTATTCTCATTGTTTTGTTTGGTTGGGTTTTATTCTGTTTTATTTTGTTTGACTTTATTATATCTGATGGCATGGGCAGCTATTTCAAAGATAACAAGTGTCTTAGTTACTTTTTACTCATCACTGAGACAAAATACCTGATGCTAAAAGTTGGGAAAGGAAGGTTTATTTCTTACAGTTTTTGGAGGTTTCAGTCTGTACTCAGTTGGTTCCAAGACAGGGTGGCATGGTACGGCTGCAGTCCATGGCAGCTGCAAACAGTAAGGCAGAAACCGGCAAGAGAGAGATGTGCCTTCTTCCTGCCATTACATCACATCCTGGCTCCACCCCTAGGTGGGTATAGCACTGACACCATCAATCCAAGCACTAGACAATGAACCAATCACAAATGCACAATGCAAAGGCGTGAGGCCTGGGGGCCACCGACATAAACCATGATAAGACATGTAATAGCAGCCATTTTGGATTTACTATTATCTTGTTTTGAAGTTCTGTATTGCATTCATGGTTTTGTTTTTATTGATTTTATTCTGTTTCTGTTTTGTTTGATTTTATTATGACTGAAGCTATAGGCAGCTATTTTAAGACAACAAGAGGCATTATGGTAACTATTGTTGATTTCCTATTACCTTGTCTTGAAATCCTGTGTCACTTACATTGTCTTGTTATGATTCGTGGTGTTCTATTTTATTTTGCTTGGTTTTATTCTCTCTAAAATAAAATTTTTAAAAAACCTTGAACTAAAGGTTCCATTCAACCCATTTAGGACCCTTCTTGGTGTGTTCCCTAAAGAATTAAAAGCATCATACCACAGTGATATACATACATCCATGTTTATAGTGGCACAGTATGTAATAATTAAATCTTGGAAACAGCTCATGTGCCCATCAGCCAAAGAATGGATAAAGAAAATGTGGGATTTTTAAATATAAAGCTGTGCTACGGTGCTATGAGGAAGGAAAAATGTGAGACATTTATATCTAAATGAGTGGACCTTGAGACCATACTTTTTAGTGAAATAAATTTCACACAGATGTGTAAACCTTGCATTGTCTCTGTGGTGAGAGAAACTGAAAGTGTGGGCAAGAACCAAATTGTGTAACAGATATTATGAAATGGGAAGAAATTGTTCAAAAGGAAGAAGTACTAGGAATGGGGGAGGGGAAAGGAAGAAAGGAAAAAGAAAACATGAGAAAATGAAGATAGAGGAGGAAAAAGCTTTGTAAATAAGAAAGGAAAGGAGAGTTGAATGGAACAGAGGGGAATTTTGAAAAAGAAGTGCCAACTTATGACTTATAAGGGGCAAATCTCCCATGATAAATGTGATCACTCTGTATACTAAATTGTACCCAGTCCCTGACTGAAGTGTTTGGAAATTTTGTTGTAATTTTTTTCTTCTTCTTTCTTTTCTTTTTTTTTTTTAACCTTGAAATAAAATGGATTTGGAAAAAAATAAAATAAAATAAAACATGTACCAGGCCAAAAAAAATTGTACCCAGAAGCTCAATAATAGAAAAAAATGTTAAATAATTCCATCACAAGGAACACAAGAAGAAATTTATAAACACCAAACCATCACCCTAAAATGTTCTGAAACACATTCTAGAAAGACACATCAAGGACTGCAACTCCATGAACCCCAAAAAGAACAAATCCACCAAGCAAGGCAAAGAATTAAACAGAGAAGGTTAAAAATAAAATAAGAAGCTAACAAAAGGAAAATTACGTGATAATGGTAACTCACATCATAACCATGGTAACTCACATCACACATCTCAGTTATAACCATCAGTGTTAATGGTCTCAATTCACCATTCAAGAAAACACATTGGCATAATGGATAAAGAAGCAAGATTCAATAATATGCTGCATATAAGAAATGCATTCAAATAAAAAAGAAACTCACAGACTGATAGTCAAAGCATGGAAAACAAATAATCCTTGTGACAGGTACCCAGAAAAAAAGCAGAAAGAGTGATTCTACTTGCAGAAGTATATTTCAAGCCAAGAGTGATTATGAGAGACAAAGAGGCCAAGACATCCTTATAAAGGGACTATTCCAAGAGGAAGAGATAATAATCATAGATATATACGCAACAAATACCAGTGCACCCAGCTATGTAAAATAAATGTTAACAGACATGAAAAGTCAAATAAGCATTCAGGGACCTCAATACCCCATTGTCAAAAACAGACAGAACAACTAGACAACACACCAAAAATGAAATATGACAACCAAACCAAACTTTTGAACAAGGAACTTAGTGGATGTCTACTGAGTGTTCCATCCCACAATATCAGAACACACATTCTTCTCAGATGCACATAGGATGTTCTAAAAAATAGACCAATACAAGCTCATAAAACATACTTAAGTAAACACACAGTAATTGAAACTATCCCATGCATATTATCAGACCATAGTGCAATGAAATTGGAAATTAATGGCAAAAGACACCAGATGGTCTTCATAAACACATGGAAATTACATAACAACCTCCTGAACACCCAACAGGTCACAGGTGAAATTAAAGAGAAATTAGATAACAGCATCAATAGAACATATCAGAACTCACGGGACAAGTGAAAGTAGTCCTCTGAGGGCAATTCATAGCAGTGAATACCCATGTAAGGAAAGCAGGTGACTTAAATAAACAACTTAACATTGAACATCAAGCTTTGAGGAAAAGAAGAACTGGCCAAGCTGCAAGCTCACACAAGGGAGGAAACTATAAAGAGCAGAGCAGAAAGTACAGTGAGCACTAAAAACACAATACAAAGAATCAATAAATTGTAATGTTGGTTCTTTGAAGGATTAAATAATACCAACAAACCATTAAGCAACCGTATTGAAAAAGGAAAGAAGAGACTCTAACTCACACAATTAGAAATGCAAAAGGTGAAATCACAATGTATCCTGCAGAAATCCAGAAGATCATCTATACAGCGATAGCTATTCTACTTGTAGATTGCTTGGAAAACTTGTATTCTAATAAGATGGAAAATGCAGAAGAAATGGACAGACTCCTAGATACAAAGGTATTGCCAAAGATCAATCAAGAAGATATAAAAATTCTAAATTAAGCAATATCAATCAATGAAATTGAAGATGTAAATAAAAACCTATGAAGAAAGAAAAGCCCAGGCCCTGATGGATTTACTGCTGAAATCTTCAAGAACTTTAGAGAAACTCCAACACCAGTAATTCTTGATAGAACTGTGGGGGGACCAGCAGCAGCTGAAAAGATAAGCAGTATGAAATATAAATGACCTTTATTTCGAGAATGCAGGGAGAGACACCTCCGATCCCTTGGGGTATGGCATCTCCCCCCAGGGTTGGCGATTTCTCTGTGGAACATGTGGAGTGGGGGTCTATATGTAGCTTAGGTTAGGGGTGGTGCCTGAGGGGGCATTAGGGATGCACAGGTAGCCCATTGGCACTAGTTTGGCACCAGAGGTAGATTCCTAGAGATGGGGGAGATAGAGGTTCCTTGGTTCCGGCTGAGGCTTTTCCAGCTACAGTGTCTGGCCTGGGCCAAAACCCTTTCATATCCCATCTTATGATTATTATTATGAAAAAAGGCTAAATTTCTCTCTTTAACTGCTTCCTGCTGGCAGAGGGCACTGTACTGGGGTCTACGGGAGTCGACAGGATGACAGTTATGCCCAGATAGAAGCTGGTAGATTGCTTAGCCAAGACAATTTCACTGGTGAATGCACGTATGTTAGACTGGAAAAGAAAAAGAGACAAGATGTTATGAGGAGGTATGGCACTGTAATATTTAAGGACCCAGGTGAGGTAGAAGGAAAGGTGCCTTTGATTTAGACATGTCATTATATCAGGACGATGTTGAGGGAGAAACATTTCCACAGTAAGGCAGAATTCTAAAAATTAAATGTGGGGTTATGAGGAGTGAAGTTATGAGAGGTGATTACTCCCCCATCTGAAAGGGTAAAAGTTAAAAGGGTAGGTAGGTAAGGCTTGTCTCTGGTATGTATGACATTGGAGTCTTTAGGAAATACTGTTAAGAGTACTGCTGTAAAAGAATAAGAAATTAGAAACCAAATTGGATGACAGCCTGAGAGTTGTGGCTATGAGGCCTTGGTAAGGCAGAGATGAGTAGGCAAGAGGATGGTTAGATCTAGGGCCTGAGTGAAGTGAAACCAGAATGGCAGTCTAGCAACTTTGATCACTGTTGAGGTTGCCAAGAATATCAGGCAGATATGGGTTGCTGTAACCTGGTTGTAGTCCTTGGAATGATTTGCTGTAATAGAACTTTAGCAAGTATATTAGCAGTGTCCCTGAAGCAGCTGCAGTGCCTGGTCAGCTGTCAGCCACCCTGCCTGTTTCCATTGCTCTAACCCTGCTGACCATGCCATCACTGCCTAGCCTTTAGGAGCCACCTGCACCAAGTCCTTTTGGTCACTGGCTGCGCTCATCATACCTCCAGATGCCCCTCCTAGAATAGGTATCCTGACATGGAGGAACCACATTAATTTTCTGCTTTACATTACCACCCTTTAGCTCTACTGATCTCCTCAACTGGATTATCATATGCCCTTATATTCATAAAAGCTCCACGTCATGATTGATCTCCTAACCTTAATCTTGCAGACACATCAGCTGATGTGGGATGATATCAACAGATCCTCCTGAACTCTTCAGCACTGAAAATGGGTTTCAAAGTTTGAAGGAGAGTTAGCTTAGTAGCTAAAGACTAGAGTTGAAGATGATGCTACAGATCCTGATGAGGGTTAACACTGTTTCCCCTACACCTCCACCAGATTAGAACTTTAACGTTGCAGATGGCCATCATGCTTTAACAGAGTATCATAAAACACCCTGGTGGGGATAAAAACAGGGGAAGAAAAGCCCATTAGCATGTCCAAGATTCCTGAAATCCCTCAAGAGCCCAATGAAAGTCTTTCAAAGTTTTATTAAAGACCACGTGAAGCCTATCAGACTTGCTCCGCATTTGATCTCAAGGCTCCCAAAACTCAAGAGATGGTGAATGCAGTTTTTATGTCACAGTGTGCTTCTGACATGAGAGGGAAATTAAAAAGACAGGTGAATTTTCTGGTATGAGTGCCTCTCAGTTGCTCCAGATAGCTCAGAAAGTTTCTATACACCAAGACAGAGAGGACAAAAAGAGACTGTAAACATAGTCAGACTGCCCTGTTGGCTGCAATCATTGGAAAGTCACTCCCCATGGGATTCCAAATAAGTCAGCAATGTTACTATAACAAAATCTCACAGAGATCTCAATTCAAAAAAGCTTATTGTTCCTATGCTATAGCCCTGGACCAGTGTGCCCAATGCAAGCAATTCAGATGCCAGAAAGACAAATGTCCACTCCATCTGAAAGACCAGAAAGTTTATGAGGAACTAAACTTGCCATTGCCTAAACCCCCGCTCTCACTTTTTTATGGCTATGCATAGGATGGACCAAGCTCTACAAGTTTGGGCCTCCAGGAGCCTAAAGTCACAATGAAACACAGGGA